TACTGTCAGTGAATGAAGATGATTTTCATTTTAATGAATATCTTATTAAATGTCTGTTTGATGCCCTTCAATTCATGTTTTATCAGGAGAAATGTTTCCACCATTTTTTGTTGACTAAAGGAATACGATGATAGTCTACAAAAGTGTATTATTATGAAGAATAGATTAAAAGCTTGGTACTTATTTAAAAATTTCAGATAACTATTTTCCCCTAATTATTTTTAAAATTGTATTATGTAAGTCAAATTGAAAAATGAATGATTTTAGTCTGTTTGCTTTATCCTGAACAGATTCTTTCAGAAGGTATTTGTATGTCTTTATCCTATTTGTAGCAAATCCCATACAGGTTCTCTTTTCACCTCGATTGCTAAGACGTTCTGAGAAAATTTGGTCAAGTTTAAAGTGGCGAAAACATTGATTAGCTTCTATGTTGTTTCTCATCTACATATGTTGTACTCTATTGCTATTTTTTATCATTCTCCCTCATATTGTAATACAAGGAACCCAAATCCTCTTTGGAAATAGATGTTGTGTAAATCACAAAATAATTAAAATACTTATGTGGTGACTGAATTAAAGAGTGGCAGAAGTCAAATGTATTTTTGTTCACTCTCTAGGCTATCTAAATGTGTCATGAACAAGCAGACTAGTTGTGTATTTGGAGATATGATTAAAACCTCCAGGTTCTTAACATCACAGTCTTTATTTCACTGTAAAATTTCTCAAAAAGAAGTAACAGGAAAATAATATAAAATATGTGTACAAATTGATAGAGTGGATAGAGAGGGGAAAGAGACAAACACCATCCATATTTATTCAAAAACATAGAAAAGAATTTCAATTTCAGATGAGATGAAAAACCATGAATAAAACCTCTAATACAGAGCCAATAATTCCACAAAACATGGAATAACTTTCCCTTATAATCAATGTCATATTATCAAAATGCTAGAAATAGAATTGCTGAAGAGCATCATTAGTATTATTATTAAGCTTACTTCTCCCTGGGTACATAAAAATCACAAAGGGCTAGATAGATGCATTTCAGCTTATAAAAATGTTTTAATGTGAACATAAATTTGCTTTATGAAACTTGTGGTTGGTTGACCCTCAAAGAAGCAATAATCCTTGGAAGCTATCTCCAAATAGTTACGAGTCCTTATGCACCAGCTGCCTCCAGAGGTCACAGGAATTTGCTATGGGAAAAAAAGAGTGCAAAGCTCTATACTTAGCCTAACTGCAAACCTCAAAACAAAATCCACAATACACTGCATCTGCCTAATAAAATATGGTGAATACGGTACAGCAGGTATAAAAATCCATCACTGTCCCTCTTACAGGTTCTAATCACTAAGCAGCTTTGGGCCCTTGTCATTCACTGAAATATTTGAAATTAAGTTGGGATTATGAAAATACAGAGGGATTTTGATAAGGAGCATGTGCCTCGTATTTGACTCACAGGGAATGGAGAATGTAGACAACACTAACAAGTGTAATCTTGAACAAATATTTCAGTTAATTCTTTTTTTTTTTTTTGAGGGTAAGATTTTGTCTTCTACTTCCTTTGAAAGTATGCAGGTGAGTTAGTTTACCTCTTGGGATGCCAGTTTCCTTACTGCAAATATGGAAAATCTAGGTAGATACTGTATCAGGTTACTGTGAAGATTATATGAGATAATACAAGTCACATATTTAAAAGTGCTGGCATTATAGTAGGACTCAATAAATGTTAGTGGGCCAATGCTTGCATTTAACTAAGTTTCACCTTCTGATAAAGCAAAAAAGTTCGATAAATAAAACAAGTAGGAAAGCCTTCTTCAAATGAGAATCCTGGCTCACACCATCCCAGTTGAAGTGATTCCAGTCTTCATATTTACTACAATATAAATATGCATACTTTAAAGCAGTGTGTTCAGATGGTCGTTTGAAGATTTCCAATCCTGATAAGCTTTCAGGAGGTTTTTTAAACAAGTTTTCTCCCTAATGCTTCTAGTTCTGATGTTTCAACAGTAATTTGAAAACAAAAAAACTCTACATATGTTGTACTCTATTGCTATTTTTTTATCATTCTCCCTCATATTGTAGTACAAGGAACCCCAAATCCTCTTTGGAAATAGATGTTGTGTAAATCACAAAATAATTAAAATACTTATGTGTAACTGAATTAAAGAGTGGCAGAAGTCAAATGTATTTTTGTTCACTCTCTAGGCTATCTAAATGTGTCATGAACAAGCAGACTAGTTGTGTATTTGCATTTAGATAAAGGATAAAGAAAAGGAACAAAGAAAAACAACTTGAAAGAATTTCAGTTTGCTTTAAAAGAAGAGATTTATTTATTATGAAATACTGATGATATTGAAATAGAAATGCAAATGTTGGTTTCAGAAATACAATTTGAAATGACAGGTTAAGTAGGTAAATTTTCTTTTGAAAATACTGTAAAAAATCAGTCTGATTTGTGGTCCTTTGATGTGGAGAACTCTTGATTCTTCTAGTGCCTTTCGGTTATATTTGGACTAAACATTTCTGTTAAACCTCTGAAACTTCAGTATTTGCATCATCCTCAGATAAACATGTGTTCACGTACAACTGTTAAATTGACTGACAAAGCTCAGTAGTTGGTGAAGAGATGGAGTTGAGAAGCGTTTGGCTGAATTTGAAGTTTTCTAATATAGGATCATTTTTGTGCATGTGAATAGACCGATTATTCAAGTCAGTGGGGATTATTTACAGAGAAGTGATCTGAGTATTACTATACCCTGGAAAGTGAGGGGAGGAAAACACAGTGCCAGTGTGTGTCTAGATTAATTCAGCCCAGCACATCTAACTCATGGCATCCCATACAAGAAAAATTTTAGGTGATCCAAAATGAACACTGTAGTGTTTGGAGGACTACAGTATCCAAAGAATCTAATCATTTTAATCTGAATGAAATCTCTAAGAGAAAACAAAAGGTCTGATTTTCTATAGAAAGTTCTTCTCTATTTCTGCCTCACCCATTTCATTGGTTTCATTTTGTGATGACTGACTTAAGTATTATTTTTTCTTCCATGTTTTATTCTCATTACAGTCTCACAAATGTTTCTCTTTCTACCAATTCTGGTCTCTCTTTTGATTACTGGGCCTTCCTTTACTTCTACTCTCACTGACAAAATATTGTTTATTGAAATAAATGATTTTCAGAAAAGATGTGGGGAAATAGCTAACAAGGAGTTTAGTATAATATCAAATTAGACAGCCTAGATAATGTTTTATTTTATAAACAACTGCATACCATGATGTAAAGAAACAAATATAATAAAGTTGGCAGCATTTCTTTTACCATGTTTCAAAGAGATTTTTGTATCGCCAGAGAAGACCTATGCCACTGGATGCAACATAAGGTTATTGTAATCATATCTAGTGTGTTGAGGATAAATTTTATTTAGTGCTAGGAATGTAAAATGAGATTGCTCTGATTGCTCCTTGACCTCTGGTACTATTCATCTTACAATGACCAGCGGGACATCTTTTAACACCCACCAGTTGTTGACCAACGTTACTCATCAAATGGAGAAGTCCATGTGCTAAATACAGCACGTTTTTCTTGACTTGGTAAAGACACAGGCTCTTCCTCAAACCCTGTGTTGAAATATAAATTCCTAAGTTGTATACTTATTTCCAGTAGCATCCCCTCAAGTGAACTTATCTTGAAATCTACCTATTAATTATATTAATTATTCCACTTGCTGTTTATTCTTTTAAAATTGGATTCTATCAGAAATATCTCTTTGGATATATGACATTTGGGACTTGTACTATACATTTTCTCTAACATCTAGTAGAGCCTTGCAGACGTTAAGGCTGTGGGTAAAATTGCAATATTTCCAGAATCTCTTGCCTGGCTTTAGTGTATCTCCATACAAGTGTTGTTTCCAAGGGTTGGAGAGAAGTAGTCCATCTCCATATCAATAGGCAGTTATATAGGTAAGGGAGGGCTTATCTGGACCAGAGAGGTTGGTTGGTGTCTTCTGCAGCCTAGTCATGAGAGACATGGAGAGCAGAAGTGGACTGTCTGTAAAAAATAAATGGGTTTCTCCCACTTTATTTCTCCCTTTGATTGATTTTGGTTTCAAAGGTATTTTGCCCTGGGATTTGCCCCCCAGTTGTTTCAAGGGATGTTGCCCATTTTTCTCAGTCAAGGAAAAAACATCCTGTTACAAAGGTCTAATCGCCTTTAAGAGACATCGTAAGAATGAAAAATCAGGGAAGTATTATTATTGTTGTTGTTATGCTCTGAGCTCTTGAAAATCCAAAGTATGCTTTGTCTCTAGGTCTGCTTCTAATGTCCAAACTCTTGTTAAAAAAGAATTAAATGAGGTTATGATTGTGTGGTGGATATCTTAATTTTATATGTTTTCTCCATCAGATAATACTTTTATGTATTATCTTATATCTCAGTGTGTATGAATAAACCACAGAGTTACTTAGGTCTTTGTATTTTGCTTCCTAGCTATTTCGTCTTATAAACTATTATATACATCACTGTGATAATCCTGGATTATGTTTGGCCAAGGTGCCTTCTTTTATGAAAGGTGCATTTTAATTTGACGTTAGAAACAGTCAGCTTTAAAAATGTGATTGGCCTTCATTTCTTTTCAGATTCCATTTGGAGATACATTACCACAAAAATGTACTGTGTGGGAATTTGGCAAACTAGCTAGTAATAGGATAAATCATTTTTAGTTTACAGGAATGAGGAAATGCTTCATTATTTTGTTGCCATTGTTTACTTTATCCAAAAGAAAATACAATTTTTTAGTTAGTGAAGTACATGTGAGTACATACAGCTTTTGATAAAGTGAGTCAAGTGGGAAGACTTTCACTTCTTTGTGATGACACATCAAATATGCCCTTATCTTTAAAAACATTAAGGATGAAAGAATGAAGCCTCCCTTTGTTTTTCTAAGCATCTTTAGCACTAACAGAAAAATCTAAATTATGATGTATTTACTTCTCAGGAGCGAAAGAGAGAGAAGTAGTCCTAATGAATGGTTTGACTGTTAATTTACATCTTTTATTGGTAAGTTTCCTTTCCCACCAATGTTTAGTATACCCTCATTTACAGAATCTGACATTTTTCTATCTTTAATTCATGAGCATCTGGTGGTTTACTTATTAAAAATAAGTTGTGAGGTTATTTTGGTTTTTACCAGGAAATGCTGGACCATGAGAGAATGGCTTCTCTATAAGCATAAGAGTGTTGACTCTTGCAAAAGGCGACAGAAAAAATGAATAGTTCTCAGAACATAAGGCATAAGGGTCACAGTGGGTAAAAAAACAAAAATGCTTGCAGGCATGCAAAACAATGATGGACAGATGCTAGCAAACACTGAGCTTTGCAGAAAGATAGTTCTCCAATATGCTGGACTTTAATAGGATAGGATAATGGGGTCGGTATTTTTGTATATTAATTATGAGGGAGTAGGTTAAAAAGAATTAGAAAATAAAACTAAATTGAAGAAAATTTAATACCATAAATGAGTTACTGTCTTTAAAGTGCTTCATTTATCCTAAGTGCTTAATAAATATGTATACCTAAAATATCAGATATATTCTTGATTTGGAATATGATGCATATAATAACTGCTTGATGCTTTAAATATCTTTAATTTCATTTTCAAGTGAATTTTGAAAACATGTTTACATGGCCAAGATATACAGTGTATATACTGATATTTTAATAAAATGGAGAAAGGATTGTTAAATATGCCCAAAGGAACATGTTTACATGTATGTTAAGTATGATGCCAAATAGCATTGCTTTAAGTTCATACACCATTGGGTTCAATTCCCAGGTAAGTTATTTAATGTATGTTTTACTTCGGACAAGATTTTTGGCATTTCTAAGTTTAATTTTTCCCTCTGTAAAAATGAGGACACTAATACCTACCTCATAGGTATGAAGGTAAAATGTGATAATAGGTGAACATTGCTTTAGCGTCGTGGATAATGATCAACATACAATTAAGTAAAGCAATCATTTTCATTATTAGTGTTAGTCAGTATTTATTCTCTAGGAACTGTGGGGAGAAATGAAGGTTCCCACTGAACAAATGAGCTACTTCTCCCTGGTGACCCTAGAAATGTCAAATGTTTCATGTAGGGCTAAGGTACTTTTAGTTAGACATAAATGAAATCCCATAAAATAATACAGCAGTGGAAATTTTATGTAGTAGAAACCAAAGCAATAGTCTAAGATAAATCAGAATAAATAAGACAGACATAGAACATGATATTTCAATCTTACAATAGAGAAATTACCATTAAATGCATTGGGAAGATCATTTCTCAATGATCTTTTAAATTAAAAGTCAATTAAAATTTAAGTAAAATTTGAGAGTTTGTTTTTATCTAGTTCACATTTTCTCCCAAATTTGCTTTTCCATTGATAAACTTAATAAGCCAATACCTTTTTCTTCTTTATAATTCACTGGAAAGAAGGTTAATTGGAAAAGGTACCCTTGACACACATCTAGATGTGTAATTAATTAATGCCTTTAAAATGCTGGAGATTATAAAATGAAAGCATGGTATAAAATGAACAAATGTTTAAATTGTACACTAATGTGTTTCTCAAAAAATCCATTTTGTTGCAGTTGTCATTTTTTAAGCCTACACCAAAACGATATAAAATTGTTTTAGAAGCCAAAGCCTTCCCTTCAGATCATGTAAGTATTTTGGAATTATATTTAAATTCTTTCTCCTCTTCCTAGAGGAGCCTATCATTTGACTTGAATGTTTATTCACTAGTCTTTTCCAAGTACCCTTCCAATAAAAAAAGATCTGTCAAATGCTTTTGATTTAGGCCTTTTTTAATAGATTGTAGCTTTATTTCTTTTGTTCAAGCAAAGCATGTGTAAAGGGAAGAAAGGACCGAATAGAACATTGATTTATTAGCCTTTTTAAAGATGTTGAGCAAACCACTGGTTTAAATCAAGTGCAGTTATAAATGTTTTATTAATTCTTGTTGCTGTTTTATGAAGTCAAATCAATACATACCCCATTGCTTAACTCTTTAGCTACATAGAATAGGAATATAAACTTTTTCCATTTGTTTCATAGCATGCTAACATAACAATTGGTACCTTATTATTGAGAAAATAGTTATTAAAAGTTAAAAATATTACTTGTTGTTCTTTAAAAAAGTGATGCTACTTTATCAGAAATCTGTTGATAAGAAATTTGATGGTTCCAGACACACAGATGAAAGCGTATTATATATTTTAGTTTTAGTGATAGAGAAACTTGATTAAGGTCTTTATGTTATCACTGTTAACTGTTCTAGCCCACATCTTGTAAGTCATTAAATCATGTCCAAATTAATAGCCATTACCTTATTATAAAGGATCAAAACCTTAATATTTTGAAAAAATTCATGGTCCCTATAATGGGTTGTTCCCATTCATTTCTTGCATTCTCAATGAAGGGAACTTTTTGGTGTTCTTTCTTTTTACTAGCTTACTCTTTCTAAGTTAAGCCATTTCTCTAATGTGTGGTCAGGCATTAACAAGTCCACACTATTCGTTATGGTTCTTTTGCAAACTCTGACTTTGACTTAGATTAGGTAACTTAGTATCTTATTCTAAAAAATCTCTTGTAACTCCCTAAAGTCTAGATGACCATTTATGTTTCCATCCATCTCTGAGTGTTTCAAGCAGTGTCCAGATTCCAGCATGCACACTGTATTAAGAGTTATTCTCTGATGTGCTCTGTTTAGTCACTTTTAACCTTGACCTTAGATTTTATAGAGTAGTAGGTTTTTATTGTTGCTTTATTATTTCTTTTCAGAGTTTTTTAATGTACTTCTGTGCACTGGATTTGATTTAATGAATCATCTTTCTTTTCCAGTATGCTATTGAGTCACAACTTCAACTTCACAGTCTTAACGTTGAGAAAAGTATGCGGATTATAAGTCCAAGAGAGGTATATGAAAAAGAGAAAGAAATATTCATCATGCTTCTATTTAGTATTGATGTTTTTCTTCATCAGCCTCAAAGGCTTATCATCTTCATTACTTTAGTGGAATCCTCAAGAAAGTACGAAAGACCTGTACTTCTGTTACTATGAGGTCACTTTGCTTAAAATGGAGAATTAACTCAGAAGTATATTTATTTTCATTTTTCAAGGATTAGTCATAAGCAGACTGTTTTCCTGTTAATACCAGCGGAGTCTGCAATATTCTTCAGTGGGGATGGGAGTAGATGGCAAATTGCACATATCATTTTCAATATCAAATGTCATTGCCTGTGGATGCCATTAAAATCATGTTAAAGACTGGTGATTTATTGAAGCTGAATGATGCTTATGTTTTATGTCACCCCTTAATCAAGCACTGGGGTATAAAAAAGGGACATGGTATAACAGAAAGGGCTTAGGCTTTATAGCCTGGCTAATACCCTCCAGAGAAATCCCTGACTCACCAACTTACTGGGTAAGGGATTTTGAGAAAGTTACTTTATCTCCTTGAAATTCCTTTATATTTGAACAGGTAACAAAGGAAATACCTAATCAGGTTTGACATAAATTCAAGATCTAAAATACTGTGCACTTTACATTAATAGAGATATAAGGCTAAGGTGTATAGACTTTGACATATAAACCCTGCAACTTGTATAATTTGGCAACAAGAGAGCCATACAGAATAAATTTTAGGTTTTACAGTTGATGCTCTCAGGCTGGTAAGCCACTGTTTGAACAATTATTTCTTTCAACTGTGAATACTTTGATGCACTGTGAATACTTTGATGCAACTGTGAATACTTTTGTTAATGCAATAAATTAACAAAAGAGAAAATTCTCACACCTGTGAAAGAATGTTACATGTATGATACATAAATTGCTAATTTCTAGCAAAGATTAATATAGTCACTATGTTAAAAGTGATAAATTTTATGGAGGCTCATGAATTAATCATAATCTTGGGAACATTACAACATTAATAGATTAGAGTTAATCAGCATAAGAGAGGACTGTATCCTAATATTAAGAAATATATTTCTAATTTGCTTAATACTAATTCTTTAAAGAAATAAATTTTTGTTATATATAGTACTTTCCTTACTCTTTTTTTGAAATTATGGTGGACAAACTATATTAGATTCTTAGAAAAAGAGAGTTTTGGTTTATCATGTTATTAATTCTAGTTAGAATTTTTCTTAAAATTATTGAAGTATTTCTCTTTACATGTAAAGTATACATCAATTAATAATTCAGATATATCAGTATCCATACTGTTTTTTATAGATTCCCATTTTGTAAATAAAAGTCAGGCTTCTAGTAGAAACTAGAGCATGTATTACATTTATGATATATATAATATATGAGAAACATGAGACACAAGAATTGGCAAATAGCAAGAATCACAAAAAATTAAAAATAAGATATGGAAACTACATGCATACCTTAATGAGTTTCCCCCAAATATTAATGCAGGTAATGATGCTTTGACCTCAAAATTGTGTCAGATTTAGCACTCGAGAAAATTCATGAAGGCTTTGTAAACAGACCAAAATTGTTAGGATATAAACATGTGCTATGTTTAGCTGATTATTCCCACTACTCAAGTTGTTTGCAAGACCAAATCTAACTTTATTCACAATTTTACTAAATGCCAATCCCTAATATTACGTGGGGAGATATGAGGGAAAATAACTGATAATATTGAGGATGGTTGATCTTTTTCTTCACTTTGGGGCTTGATCTTTAGACTGGTAAGGGAGAGATTTTACTCTTCAATTAATAGAAAATTCTGGTTTAGGTTATACTCAGATGAGAGATGTGTAAGTAGGATTTTTAGGAAAAAAATTACGTGATATCAGATTAATAACTGAAATGCTAATTTCCAAAAAAAATTTCCACTTAATATATCATAGACTTCTTGTACTTTCTGGTATTTTATTGAATGGGAAAAAGGAGGAAACAATTTACAGGATAAGTAGTAAAGATTGATTGAAAAATTGAAGAATAAATCAAACAAGTAAGACTTTGCAAAGACACTTTATAAGCCTTATTTTTTTTTTACTTCTTTACTGATATTTCTTAAAAATAACAAAACACATACTGAATTGCTGCTCTCTTGCCAGAGGTTTGAAGACAACTGATCTGAAAAAAATTTACCTTTGATTGTTCTTATGGTGGGAAAGATCTCAAGGTGAATTTTAAATCGGGAAGTATGAAGTGACAAATGTATTTTGGTGGCTATGATGTAACTTGTGTCTTACGTCCTAGGGGGAAGAAACCTTGAGACTAGAGGATATCCTTGAAGTAATTGAAAAGGAAGGAGACTCAATTGCAGTGATCCTGTTCAGTGGGCTGCACTTTTACACGGGACAGTTCTTTAATATACCTGCCATCACAAAAGCTGGGCAAGCAAAGGTATGCCCATCATTCCTTCCTCCCCACCATGCCAAAAGCATATTCCAACTGCATTTCTAGTGAAACACCTTTCTGTTCCTGTAAAATTATTTAAAGATTTTTTTAAAAGAGTAAGCCTTATGTTAAACAAAAAATCTATACTTCCTTTGCTTTAGGCATCTCTATTTAAAACTCTTTTTGTCACTTCTGGGATCACACCTCCTTCCTAAGCATCTGCTCTCCCAGTGTTTGCCTCTAATCCGCAGGCCAGGTGAACTTCCAGGTGACGTCACTGGTGCTGAGCTGCTCATCAGCAGGAAGCAGACAGAATACTTAGGACGGTGTCTGCATGCTAGGACTCCTGGAAACTCTGCTGCCCCTCTGTTATCCTACTCCTCAGTTTAAATGTTGTTCAGTTCTCCTTTAACCCTAGGTACCTGAAGAAGGAGGGCTGCAAAATGAAAGTGTGTCAGTAGTTAGAGTTTTGTAGTTTACCTTAAGAAAGCCGTTTGGTTTCTGAGAATCTCGAGAAATTATTATACTGCCTATAGCAAGAGCTTTTCCCCACATACTATTAAATCACACTCAAATTGCTTACTATTTTGAATTTGTGTCTCTTGACATCAATATTTGCAAAAAACTGTTTTTAGTATTTGTTTGCCTGAAAAAAGAAATTAGAGTGACATTCAATAGTTAACAATTTGTATTTGAATCCCTTAAAAAAAACGTTCTGTTTGAGTCAGCAATGAAGTCAAGTATTTAAAAAGCTGATGATCAAATTTTATTCTGAATATTAATAAGTTATGGGATTAATATATGTGTGAGGGCTAGTTAATATATTCAGTTATTGAATCTAATGACTGGAACTAATGAAGAGAAATTTAGCACCATTATCAGGAGTCTCTACTTCCAACTGGTCTGATGGATAACTCTGGAAGTGGTACATTACAAAAGATACAAAGATAATGTCTTCTTAATTTGGATATTAAATGCTAAGCACCAAAATAAAGGAAGGCCAATAAAAAAATCGTGTTTTAAATTGTTATGCTATTATTCAGCAGTCCCTGACCTCCTTAGTTTACATGCAAGTCTCATTACCCTTCATAGAAACTAGGCTGGAAGATAGATAAGAAAACCATGGGTTGTGGAATCACACAGGTTCAAACCTTGGCTAGGTCATGTAATTGCTTTGTGATCTCAGCTAGTTTAGTTGACTTTTCTGAGTCTCTTACAGTGTTAATTTGCTTGGGAAAACTGGACAACTACATGCAACAGAATGAAGCTGGAGCACTTTCTTATACCATGTAAAAAAATAAACTCAACATGAATTATAGACTTAAATATAAGACTGGAAACTATAAAACTCCTAGGAGAAAACACAGTCAGTAAGCTCCTGGACATTGATCTGAGCAATAATTTTTTTGTATCCATATTCTCAGGGAAGGCAACAAAAGCAAAAATAAACAAATGGGAAACTATGCCAAACTAAAAAGCTCTTTTACACAGGAAGTCATCAGCAAAAGCCGGACAACCTGCTGAATGGGAGAATATATTTGCAAATGATATAATCAATAAGGAGTTAGTATCCAAAATATATAAATAACTCATACAAGTCAATATCACAATCAAATTAAAATATGGGCAGAGGACCTGAATAGACATTTCTCTAAAGAAGTTACACAGAAGGCCAACAGACACATGAAATATTACTCAGTATCGCTAATCATCAGAGAAATGCATATCTAAATCACTTCACACCTGTTAGAATAACTATTATAACAAGAAATAGCAAGTGTTGACCAGGATGTGGAGAAAAGGGAACCCTTGTACTGTTTTGGGTATGCAAATTGGTATAACCACTGGGGAAAACAGTTTGGAGGTTAATCAGAAAAATTAAAAATAGAACTACCATATCACCTAGCATTCCCAAATGTCATATTTTCTGTTTCCGTGCTTGTATCTTACCTTTCTCTGTTATGTGAACTCCCATATGTGAAGATTTTGTTCCTCCACCCCAGCTCAATCACTATCTGTTTCACTGGTTGCAACCTGCCCTAGAGATTTGCTTTGTTGAGCCTTCTTTGTATATGCCAACATAGTATATTTAAAAAAAATTTATCACATGCCAACAGCAAAAGATCAAGAGATTTCATAAAGAAATTTTCATAGATATTTCAAAGATGTTCATAATTTCAAACATGAAAAATAAGTTTGGCAGGACTGGACCATCATTCCTGTTGGATAATGAGTGGCAAGGCCGAGTAACAGCTCTGCCCATTAGATGGGACTTGAGCTCTGCAACACAACTCCTAGCTTACCTATAGACGCACCTTGGAGATATTTTGGATTTGGTTCCAGACTACTTTAATAAAGAGAACTCACAATAAAGCTAGTCAAATGAAATTTTTGGTTTCCCAGTGTATATCAAGGTTATGTTTACACTATACTGTAGTTTATTAAGTGTGCAGTAGTATCATGTCTAAAGAGAAGCAATGTATATAAATTAATCAAGAACACTTCATTGCTAAAAAATGCTAACCATTGTCAGGGCTTTCAGGGAGTTGTAATCTTTTTCCTAGTGGAGAATCTTGCCTCTTGCCTCAGTTGTGATGACTGCCAACTAGTCAAGATGGCGGTAGCTGAAGGTTGGAATAGCTGTGGAAATTTCTTAAAATAAGAAAATAATGAATTTGCTGCATTGATTGACTCTTCCTTCACAAAAGATTTCTCTATAGAATATAATGTTGTTTGGATAGCATATGACCCTCAACAGAACTTCTTTCAAAATTGGAGTCAATCCTTTTAAAGCTTGCTACTGCTTTGTCGGCTAAGTTTAGGCAATTTAGATACTTTGCTCTCTTTTAAAACAAGACCTTTACAAGCTTCTTCACCAGGAGTAGATTCCATCTCAATCTCAGGAAACTACCTTCTTTGCTCATCCATAAGAAACAAGTCATCTATTTAAATTTTATCATAAAACAGCAGCATTCTATCACATCTTCAGGCTCTACTTCCAATCCTAGTTCTCCTGTTATTTCCACCACACCAGCAGTTTACTTCCTCCACAGAAGTCGTAACCTGAGAGTCATCTATGAGAGTTGGAACCAACTTATTCCAAACTCTTACTAATCTTTTGATCTTTTTTCATGAATCATAACATTCTTCATGACATCGAGAATGGTGAAAACTTTCCAGAAGGTTTTTAATTTGCTTTGTCCAGATCTGTCAGAAGAATCACTATCTATGGCAGCTATAGCCTTACAAAATGTATTTCCTAAATAATGAGACTTGAAAGTAGAATAACTTTTCAATCCATGGGCTGAAGAATGGATGTTGGATTACCAGGCATGAAAAAAACATTAATCTCATTGTCCATTTCCATCAGAGATCTGGTGTGACCAGGTTCATTGTCAGTAAGCAGTAATATTTTGAAAGGAATCTTATTCTCTGAGTGGTAGTTCCCAATAGTGGACTTAAAATAGTCATTAAACCATGTTGTAAACAGAATTGCTGTCATCCAAGCTTTGTTGTTCCATTGATAGAGCATAAGCACAGTATATTTAGCATAATTCTAAAGGATCCTAGGATTTTGAGAGTAGCCAATGAGCATTGGCTTCAATTTAACTCACCAGTTGCATTCTCGCCAAACAAGAAAATAGTCCTGTCCTTTGAAGCTTTGAAGCAAGGTATTGACTTCTCCTCTCTAACTATGAAAGTGGTAGAAGACATCGTCTTCCAATAGAAGACTGCTTCCTCTACACCGAAATTTTGTTGCTTAGCGTGACTACCTTCATTAAATATCTTAGCTAGATCTTCTGAATAACTTGCTGCAGTTTCTTTATGAAGCACTCTATGGAGTAAAACATAACAAGTGTGAGGTTCTTTCCTCAAACCTCATGAATCAACCTCTGCTAGTTTCCAGCTTTTCTTCTGAAGTTTCCTCATCTTTCTCACCCTTCATAAAACTGGAGAGAGTTAGGGCCTTGTTCTGGATTAGGCTTTGGCTTAAGGGAATATTGTGGTTGATTTGATCTTCTATCCAGACCACTCAAAATTTCTTCATGTCAGCAATAAGGCTTTGCTTTCTTACCATTTGTACATTCACTGAAGTAGCACTTTTAATTTCCTTCAAGAAATTTCCTTTGCATTCACAACTTGGCTAACTGGTGCAAAAGTTATATATCATTTAGCCTCTCTTGGCTTTCGACATGTCTTCCTCACGAAGCTTAACCATTTCCAGATTGTGATTAACAGTGAGAGACATGCAACTCTTCCTTTCCCTTGAACACCTACAGGCCATTGTAAGGTTATTAATTGGCCTAATTTAAATGTTGTGTCTCAGAAAATAGGGAGGCCTGAGGAGGAAAGAGATAGGGGAATGGCCAGTTGATGGAGAAGGCAAAACACATATAACATTTATCAATTAAGTTCACTGTTTCATATGGTCATGGTTTGTGGTAACCTCAAAACAATTATAGTGGTAACATCAAAGATCACTGATCACAGATCACCATAACAGATATATTAATAACAACAAAGTTTGAAATATCATGCATATTACCAAAATGTGACACAAACACATGAAGTGAGCAAATGTTTTTGGAAAAACTGCTCGATGCAGGGTTGCCACAAAACTTTACTTTGTAAAAAAATGCAATAATATTGTGCAAAGCACATAAAGTAAAGTGCCATAAAATGAGGGGTGCCTGTATTGACCCCAGCACTGAAGCAGAGTGACAGCTGGCATATAGCTTTATGCTTACTTTGCAGTTTTCTTGCAGGAACGGGTAAAGTAAAATATTTCTTACAGGTCCAACATATATTTCTGGACTTCCTGTAGAAAGATGAGTGTGAAGTTCTTGACTTTGATCATTAAAATTTTTTTCTCCTCTGTGTCAGGCTAAATCTATATCTTCCTGTTGTATTTACATAGCATGTTGGAAAATGTACAATTGCCCACCTTTCACACTATCATATAATTATTTTTACACCTATCTTACCTCTCAAATTTGGGAAGTTTA